TGAGGTGACTATTGTTGTGATTAAGCGCTGTATAAATAATGTCTAAAACTAAAGTTGCTACTTGAGGTGGTGTGTGAAAATATTTTCATAATAATGATGTTTTGAAAATTTAAATTTTGTGTGGAAATATATTTCTTGTTGTTAAGCAAATACTTGAATGAACTCATTTTGTTCAGTAATGGATTAGGTTATAATTTTTATCAGAAAACAGTACAGTAATTTTGGATGTGGATCACATGGTGAAGAGTGGGGATCACCCAGAGTCAGAATCTAGTGAGATAACTGTGTCACCTCTTACAGTTTTCCTGTAATCTGAGCTCAAAGATGAGAATATATAGAGTACAGTAGAGTAAATTGGGTAAAGTTTACTGTTAATTTTCTGGAAAACCAAACAGTAATTTTGGGCGTGGATCACACGGTGAAGAGGGGAGATGGCCTAGAGTCAGAATCCAGTGAAATATCTCCTCTTACAGTTTTCCTGTAATCTGAGCTCAAATATGAGAATATTCTAAGTACAGTACAGAAATTTGGGAATAGTTTACTATTTCTTTTCTTTTCTCTGAAATCGTTCTGTACTTTGGGCTGTAAGGCAGAGGAGGAAGAGTGGGGGTCTCCCAGAGTCTGAATCCAGTGAAATATTTTCGTCACCTTCAGAAAATCTTTCCAAATTGGAATAAAAAAGAAGATCAAAAATACAGTACAACAATTTTATTTAGTTGGGGTAAGATCAGGGTGAGAAGACAATTCTTTGGAAATATATTGTCAGCTCTTACAGAATTTAACATTTGTAGTGTAACAATTATCTCTCTATCATATATATGATATTTCTAAAGTTAAAGTGGATTGAGCAGTAAAATAACAATGACAGGATACAGAAGAGTCGTATTTCTAAGCTAGTCGGCACCCGCACCATAACTTGCGTAAGAATAGTGCAATAACATTTTAGGTGCGGCTGGCGGTGCGGCTAGCTTGACTGTGACTTCGTAAGTGAGGGCTCACTTGACCGCAGTCATATTTGGCCATTTTAGAACACACACTCACAGACTTACACTGTGCAAAATAGTCCAGCTGCTGATAAATGCCAGCCATTGGTGTGGCTGGCATTTACAGTGGGAAAAGGATAAAGGGTGATTCTGATCTTGATATATAAGTCAGAGTCAACCCTTGTGGGCAGAGTAGAGCTGCAGTGGTTAGCACTATTTCCTCACAAGTAGATGGTTCCTGGTTCAAACCTTTACTGGAGCCTCCCAGTGTGCAAGCCACAAAAGTGCAGCTCATTTCTTTTTTTCTTTTTTGCACACAGAAACCCTTATTAAATATTAAATAAACCTTTATTAAATATTAAATAAACCCTTATTAAATAACAATAGTACAGAAATGTTAAATAAGTTTAAATACTCAAGGGCCTTCCTGCTCCCATCTTTCCTTTATCTCCATGTTTGATTTTCATGTCGCAGCTTCCGTTTGCTCTGCTTGCTGCTCTGCCTTTGTAAAAAACAAAAAACAACAACAACAACAACAACAACATGGCAGATTGAACTGATTGCTTATGCTTTAGGGTTTTTTTGTCAGTAAATTTTACGTCTAATGTCCTTTTTTTATAATGGTAAAAAAAACATGCTGTGGTCAACGAGCTCCCTTTTGGCGCCGATTGACTTGTTCGCACTCCAGGCCAGTAGAGGGCGAACGGTTCCAAGCTTGTTTGCTAACTACTAATCAAAGCAACAGGAGAAGAAAAGAACGCGGACGGCACAGTGGCGTCATTTCATTGTTCATTCATTAGTATCGAGGCCTACGTCTCTTTATAGGTGAGCTGAGGGTTTTGGTGTGAAGACATGACACGACTCTTTATGTGTGCGATGTAAAACTTACATTGTGGTGTTTATTAGAGAAGAAAATTAATTAACAGGCCAAAATGAGTGAGGCTGCGGCTAGCGAACATTAGCTTCCTGGACGTATTACAGTCAAACATTATAAATAGCAGTGGATGAATGGTGAAGAGTTGCGAACTAAACGCATTTTACATAGTTTAGAAATTAGGAGCAACACGTATCTGTGGCGTTAGGGTTTGTTATCGTGTGATTAATGTAACATACGGATTAGTGCTAACAAGCTAGCTACTTTACGAGTGCAAAACTGGTGTTGGCATGTCTCCACTGACAAATGAAGGCAGTGTAATATGAAGGTGGTACTTTTCCAAATACAGCATACACACACAAAAGTTAGCACAGCTGCTCAGCAAAAGTCTGTTTATGTCACTCAGCCCCAAAGCAGCTCCTGTCACAGCCCCGAATTCAGCTCTTCTCATCTGCGGATCATTTTGCAGCAGCAACATGTAGATACAGTTTAAATGAATTGTGTAGTCTCTGTGTGTACACTTGACTACTCGAGTAGTCACACATGTTAGATCGCCTGTGATGAGTACAGATAAGAAACTATCCTGCCAGTGTCTGACATGGACATCATTCTGACCACCACAGACAGTCCACACGTTGAATCTTCTGCAGTCTAATAAAAGAAGCTGAGTGAATGATTCTCTCCTTTTATGTGACTTGATTTTGGCCTGTCCTCATTGATGTTTGGTGTGAACACATTCAACAGTTTAAGCAAACATGCCCTGCCTTGTTAACGTTTGCGAAGGCCTTTGTATTAGCTGAACAATTGCTTTTAGATTTAGTTTGTATTTATTTGTATAAGGCAGCAATTTCATGACATTGTTAACCAACAGAAATCGGCAATGGGCCTCTCATTCTTTTAGATCAATAAGTATGGAATGTGTTCCTAACAGACATATTTCTTGATCTTCTAGGATACACAGAATTCATCATGGTGAAAATTTTTATTGGCAACCTTGCCTGCAATGCCACAGCAGAGGAGCTACGGGAACTCTTCGAGAAGTACGGCAAAGTCACAGAATGTGACACTGTCAAAAACTACGGCTTTGTACACATGAGCAACATGAGCGAGGCAGAGGAGGCCATCAAAAACCTCCACCAGCACCAGCTGCACGGCTGGCGCATGAATGTGGAAATGAGCAAAGGGAGGCCTAAGTCCACCACCAAACTGCATGTCAGCAACCTCGGGGAAGAGGTCACTAGTGACGTTTTGAGAGCCAAGTTTGAAGAGTTTGGCCCAGTGGTGGAGTGTGACATTGTTAAGGACTATGCCTTTGTTCACATGGAGCGAGTCGAGGATGCAATGGAAGCCATCAGTAAGCTGGACAACACAGCCTACAAAGGTGAACGCTCGGGCAGGGGAGTGCAAGTTGTCTTCTCTGTACATGCGATTTTGGATTCTATTTTGCCGCCGTAGGGATAAGTAAAGTCCTCTTGCTGATGTATTTCCACAGAGTATAGATAACCGTTGCTATAACTGACGAGTTAACTGAAAATAATCACAAGTTTGGAAGGTTTTTTTGTAAAACCAGTGGCAGTGTACTTGATGAATGGGCCCTGCACTGTCATTCAGTCACCTGCACGTTGTGCTGCACGTTTTTTTCGCTTCTCTCAGTCATTGTCGCTTTAACGTGTTTAATGGTCGTTAAGAAGCTTTCCGTGTCAGAGTCCCCACGGTCTCATGCGTGTCTTCTCTTTCCTTACAAGGCAAGCTGATGAGCGTACAGCTATCCACCAGTCGGCTTCGCACTGCCCCGGGAATGGGAAATCATACGGGCTGCTTTGTCTGCGGGAAACACGGCCACTGGTCGAAAGACTGTCCAGTCGCTCGGAACGGTAGCCACAGTGACAGCATGAGAGGCCGCGGCGCCCGGGCCCCGCCACACGGTCTCCCAAGTTATGGCAGCTACGGGATGGCCTCACCTGCAGCAGCTGATTACATGGGTGGCTCTGCATATAGTCCGGCTAGTTACGTAGGTGGGTTGCCTCCACCTCTTCCCCACAGGCTTAGCGGCTACGCCTCTGAGCCAGGGGATCGGTACGGCAGCAGAGCACCAGGCTCCTATGCTGATAGGTCACCAGCCTTTGATCGTGACCATCTCTATAGCAGCGTCAACTATTATGAGAAGTACAGAGCTCATCCTTTTGGCTCAAGCTATTTTGAGGATCGGCGCATGTCCTACCTTCCCCCTCCCCCACCTTCCTCCATCTCAAAGCTCTCATCCAGTGTAGATCCCTTTGAGCGTCAGGCCCTGCCTCCGCCTCAAGCGCCTGCCGCATGCTACACAGGTGAGCACACCCCGACCAGACGAGCAGCTGTCCCATCAGCTGGCTTTGCCTATGAGCGAACGCAACTGTCGCCTGCCTCTGCCTCCAGGAGCTCATACACAGCTGCACGACCCAAGGGTCATTATGCATCACGTTATGCGCCTTACTAAAGCCAGGTGAGCACCACAGTCCATAACGTTACTTTAAGACATTAGCAGTCAGCGGGCACTGACGCGGTTCTGTGTTTGTCTGAACTTGGACTGTTTTTTAACGTTCTGAATCTTTTAAAGTTGTGGTAAGTGTCAGCACTGTTTCTCAGGAATGCTGTGCTCTCTTTCTAGGTCTGTCTGTGAACTGCAAGACTTTTCCTTTGCCGTCACTTCAAGTGTGATTCCTTCAGTCTGCGTTGATGTACGGCAAAGAGACTCTGTTTGGAAAATGGTGTCCGTATCTTCTAGGCATCTGAGATGCCAGTGGCCTGCAGATGACTCGTCCTTTTCAGCCATGTTCCCCTAGCTTGTTTTCTGAAGGGGCGATTAGCAAATGTCACACTTTGACATTTTTCTTACTCTGCAGGTTTTCAGCTCGGGTTTTAGCCAAGTCTTTCTTTCTTTACATGTCTCTCATCATTTGTTGCAAATTGTTCAAATCGGCAAATAATAATTTTTGGTCTTTCTTTGTCATTTAGACATATTCTTGTTCAGTTAATACATGTTTTGTTTTTTAAGATTGCATGAAGCATACCTCATTCCACATAATGGCATAGGTTACCTGTTGCACAGAAGAATTGGATTTTGCCCTTTCACACATTTGAAATGTGTGTCAGTAAAAGGAATTTGGATAAAGAGAAAAAAGTGTTACAAATGATCATCATTGCTGCAGCGGGCGGTAACTCTCAATGTGTATTCTATCACAGGTAAAGCCAGACGTGTGGAATCGAATGGTGCAGCGTTTCCCTCTGTAGTGGATTAAAAGGCTAAAAGCAGCAGCAGGGAAATGGATGTGTGTGCAGTCTAGCGTTCAGTTAGCATTTACAGAGGGATACTTTGAGTTTAAACCAAAGTTAAGCCTGGAGATCATAAACATTCCAGCTTTTTTCTCATTTAAATGTGTCTGTGGGTTCTGCTATTTGTTCGTTTTCTAATAATTGAGGTGTCTGCTGGGCTAAAATTCTTCAACTAAGTGACACCAAAGTGAGACTGCTAGCTGATATGGATTGTGCAACTGACAAACGGTTTTCTTCCCGATGATAGTGGTGCTGACTGCCTGTAGCCAACAACAGAAACGAGCCACGGTGTGTGAGATCTCTATTGTATCCATGTAACACTGAGTAGGAACAAGTCTGTGGGGGGACGGAGCAGAGCTGTAGAAGTTGTGAGGCACGTCCTGTGTACTGTTGAAGGTGCCTTTCCTTGTTTTGCTTATGAGTGGATTTGAAGTTTGTATTTTTCATACTAGCTGAAAAAATATTAATATACCTTTTAAAAAAAATCTGAAGTTAATGATTTTTAATAAAGCCAAAATTATTTTGGTCATGCTCGTTTCAGTTTTTTTACTTGAGTATGATGAATGCAGTGGTGGCTTTTGGTAATTTGTTCTAAAAATGCTCCAAGTATGAATATCAGAAAATAAAATCCAGCTCTTTGTCCAAATAGGGGCTCAAGGTTAATGTTCAAGACGATGTCTTGTAAAAAAGAAAGTCTCCATGAAAGGCCATTCTTCACCTATTTAAAATCTATATTTCTTTGAAATTCTGTTTTTTGTTTGTTTGTTTAAAGCTCTTCATTGATGTAGAGCCACAGTTGAATTAAACTTTTCAGTGCAGATTTTAAGGAGAAAAAACACTAACCCCTGTCTCTTCATTGTGTTAAGATTCAGGACCGTACATTTGAATTCCATTTAAAAGAGAGAGAAGTCACCGGGACAAGCCTGGAGAAATAAAAATTATTTTGACAAACCAAAACAGCCTTATGTGCTGAGCCACAGTTTGGGTCATGTGTGTTTTATTCTGCTGCGGATGGTAGAGTATACAGGACGGTCCACTGTGCCCAAACTGGGATGGATCAGAACGAAATTGCCCCCTCTTTCGCTACGTTGTTATCAATAAGGTTTTCATATCAGAACATATTGGACGAAACGCATTGACACTAATCTGTATGTGGTAGTCCAGTTAACTTGAAAACTTTGCTCCGTGAACCGAGATGGGACCTCCAAACTCCAGATCCAGCTTTGAGTGGGCTGTGTGTCTCCGCATGAACCCTTTCAAAGACCCAATGATGTGATCCAGCGACTGTATGAAAGAACCTTTTTCACTTTTGATCAGCGTGATTAGGTGCTAATCTTCCAAAGCAAGTCGGATTTCTTAAATGTCACTGTTCAAGTACTGATAATAATGTTTAGAAAAAAACTATTTTACACGTAGTCACGAAGTATATCCTCCATCTTGCCTATTCTCCTGCCTTGGTTTCCTTTGCTCTGCATGTGGAGACGCCATGGCTTAGCTTTCGGTGCTAGCTAGTCCCTCCCAAAAAGCGCTAGCGGGGTTAGCTGTATGTATTTGCCTGCCAACGCGCTAGCCGCCATTTCATTCTCCGAGGGAGGAGACGAGGAGTGCGACTTTTAACAGGTATGAATTGTATTACCCCGTAATTGCGAGGAACAAAAAATCGGTTGCGAAAGTGACCCAGTGCACCACAGTCCCAGCTGCTCCAGAAGTGTTTGCTGTAAAAGTGATCTGCTAATCCAACATCTAAGCTACAGCCTCGCGACTCGTGTAGTGAAGGCCGCAGCCTGAATGTTGTGACGTTACGTAAGAGTAACTGACCAAAGCAGGCATAGTATAGTGCGGTAAGTTTAAGTGTTTTGTCAGGTTTTGATGCACATTGTAATCAGATAAGCTGCGGTGATGTTATTTAGCGGTGCCGCTAACGACTTTTTTCGGCTGCGTGCTCAGTGTCTGGTTAAGCACCGCGCGGGCACTGCTGTGCTTGCTAATGGCTCGTTCGCGCGTTTCCTTTGGACTCCGCACACCACGCTGGTTCTTTGTAAACTAAACAGCCGATGGAAATGGCTCCGCTGAATCCAGTCCACTGCAGCTTTGTCTGTTGGTCAGCTCCTTCGTCAAACTTTAATTGTTGCGCTTAAACTTTTGCCCAAAGAGCGCGTCCATTACGTTATTCTCCAGTTGACGTTCAAGGCCCATACGGTGACTCGTTAAAGCTGAGTGGGTTATCTTTAATGAAATACTGTCGGAGTGCTGGCTTTGTTAGTATTGCTGCCACTCTATTCTGTGCAGTGTTGTTCGTGTTGACCCCATTAGATTACGTGGAGACTTTCTATACAGTTAACTAGTAGGGGTCCTCACTCCTACATGCCCAGGAAGCCTTGTCAATGGCGAAAAGTCCATAAAGTTTGAGTAGTGATTGCTCAACAACACTGCTGGAAACGCTCATTATTGCAGAAGTTCACCTTATAACCTTGGAGTTGTGATTTGGCGCTATATTAATAAAATTGAACTGAATAGCATTTTGTTAAATGAACTGGTAAAAGTTTCAATTCAGTCATCGGAGTCATGACGCTACTAATGCTGAAGTTCCTCTCTTCCTTTAGTGACGTGGACCCTGCACAATGGTGAAAATATTCATTGGGAACTTGTCCCCAGACACCACATCAGATGAACTTCGCTCTCTCTTCTCTCAGTATGGCAAGATTGCAGAATGCTCAATTGTCAAGAACTTTGGCTTTGTGCACATGGATGACAAAACAGAGGCAGAGGAAGCCATCCGCAATCTCCACCAGTATGAGCTGAATGGCCAGCCTATGAACGTGGAATTAAGTCGTGGCAAGTCAAGGGGATCCACCAAACTGCACGTTGGCAACATTGCCTGTACCAACCAGGAGCTGAGGGCCAAGTTTGAAGAGTTTGGCGCTGTGTTGGAGTGTGACATAGTAAAAAACTATGCTTTTGTTCACATGGAGAGAATGGAGGATGCCATGGAAGCCATTAATCAGTTAGACAACACAGCTTTTAAAGGTGAACTCTTGGGCTGGGCTTGATGATTTAATTAAAGTCAGATTAAAGATGTAGTATCAATATTGTTGTTATGTTGATGGGTAAATTATTGCTCAAATGCAGGTGAGTAAAAAGAACTAAGGTAAGTTTTAATAGACAATTCCAACATCATTTTAAAGCTGGTATCCGTAATGTCTTTGGTAATATCCGCCTGTGTTGTGGACTTAAAGGGACACAGACTGGAATTTATGACTCACTCGTCAGGTAAACACCTGTTGTGTGGTTATTCCAAGTATTTGATTTGAAGTACATAGAGTGTACAAATCGGACCAAATGCATAGTCCCATTAAGGGCAGGATTAAAACGGACATGACGTAGTCCTGTTCGTAGAACGTGGTGTTTGACACGCATTTATTCGCAGGATCATAAATCTCGGGTTGCGCCGGTGAGATCCACGTCCGCACCACGGGTACAAGTTGAAATTGACGCTCACTGATCACATCGTATTAGTTACCTGTTGTGTTTTCGGTGGTTTAAGAAGCGTTTCAAGTTACGGATTTCAGCTTTAATAACCATATTTTTAGTGCTCAAATCATTAGGTATGTCTTCTTGCTACTGTTGGAATACAATACAGCCTTTTAGCTGATTGATACAGGCAGGAAATATGAATGCAGGTATAAATCCTTATTGAGTCTTTTCTTTTTAAGGCAAACTGATGAGCGTGAAGCTTTCGACTAGCCGCCTGCGTACTGCGCCGGGAATGGGAGACAGATCGGGTTGTTATCGTTGCGGGCAGGAAGGCCACTGGTCCAAAGAATGCCCTCTTGACCAAAATGGCTACCACGGTTCAGAGCCAAAGTCTGATGGATACGATGCCTCGAGATTTGGCGGGCGGGGTCGCAGCAGGGGTTATCATCCGGACTTCAGTGGCGAACCAGATTACGGTGGCAGCTATGCTCCTGTGCACGGTTTTTCCCGAGGTTCCGGTCACAGCAGCAACATGGCAGGGTACAGAAGAGGTGCAGGCTATGAGGGTGCAATGAGGTATGGGCCACACCCGGGGTATGGTGTAAATGCTGCTGCAGAACATAGCATGGCTCAGATGTATGGCGGCGAGGCAGCATACAGGGGCAACGGCTCACTCTATGGCGCGTTCCCAGCCTACCCGGTGCGACGGTCGCCTTACGAGGAAAGAGATCCGTACGGGGTTGTGGACTACTACGAGAAGTACAGGGCCAATACTTACGGAGGCAGTTATTTCGAGGAACGCCGCGCTGTCCCCTTGCCTGCTCCAGCAGCGTCCTCCTCCACGGCTATAATGAGGGAGCGTCTGCCTCCCTCTAATGTCAACCCATACGAGCGCCCTCCCCTCCCTCCTCCACCAGCCCCAGTCTCTTCATACTACGCACGTGACCGGAGTCCGATTCGGAGAGTTGCTGCCGAAGCAGATGGATATACATATGAGCGTTCGCGCCTTTCTCCGGTGACCGCCCTCCCAAGAAGTTCTACCTATGAAAATCCGCGGGATCCCGGCGCGGAGCGGGCACGGTATACATACTAGTGCTTGTCCCATGCAGTCAGGGCAGAGCTGATTTACAGTAAGCAGGTAGGCTAGCCGAAGTGCCATGTAAACGTCACACAGTGAATCTCATTGCTGTTGTTTGAAGCTAAAGTCAGCGCTCTGTATGTGGGTGGGTGGGCACAGTAAGCAGAACATTTAAGTCTAAATGGTTGGATACATTCACAATATGCTTTGATCTTCTTCCAGGTCCTAATTCACACTCCAGTCCAAACAGTGGCTCAGTTTCCCATCTCTCATTGTCTTGTAACACGCTGTGGTATAGCTGCAGTTAGCAAGTATGTAAAAGCAGGTCCAGCCTGATTCCTTACGTGACACTGCCACAACTGAATTTTTGCCCTTCTGAAAAAAACATACATAGCCTGAACACATTACATTAGTGCATGGTGCTTATTGTAAAGGTGAGTCTTCTGTTAATAGAACTTAAAGTGTATTCAGCAGCTTCTAATGTATTATGTGCGTTTAGTGTATTTGTGTTAGTGGAAGTATGCCTCATAACTGCAGCGACGGCTAAACAAATGTGAGTGCTTGAAGCCTGAAAACGAGGACCTTCTCTTCCTTCTCATGGTTCCACTTTTCTGTTCGGGATCAGATGAAAACATTTGTGAAATTAAGATGGGAGAACTTTTTTTTTTTCTTAAGCTACATTGTGTTTGATTTTTCTTTTTCTTTTTTTTCTTTTATTGACAGTAGGAACATTACTTAAATTCCATTGATTTCCATTGCTATGATAAATATGAGATTCACATGTTCAACCTGTAGTAGTAAAGCATTGACCTCGGAACCTTTTTGTCTGTATTGATTTCTCACTATTAGGTTATAATAAAAAATCTGTCTAAAGTTTGAGGATTGTGACCTCTCTCGTGTGTGTGTGTGCGTGCGTGTGTGCGTGCGTGTGTGTGTGCGTGTGTGTGTGTGCGCGCACGCACTTACTATAAGATGTGAAATCGACTGCAGAGTCCATCAGCCCGTGAACACACAAGTGAAGACTGGTGGAAGATCACTTTGTCATACAGAGAATGATAAATGCAACTTGTGACATGAAATATGTCATGACATGATAAACATTGACTTGGACATGTTTATATATCAGAATCTGTTTGGCCAAGTTTGTTTGACTCCAGTTCAAGTTTTTTTTATGCAAAAAACCTGTTTTGTTTTTGTTTTTAAAAAACCCTCTTGCTCTTTTACAAGTTACATAGCTATAAATGGGGTGAACATAGTGCAACCCTGGATGAATCTTAGACACTCATTTTAATAGTGTAATACTAAGCCACTGTTACCTTGAATGATATAACAGTGGGCTATTTCTCAGTGTTCATCAGCATGACAGCCTGGGGGAAGAAACTGTCTTTGGCAGCTGGTTTTAGTAAACAGCGCTCTGTAGTGCCTCCTGAAGGAAGCAGTTGCAATGTGAAGGGTCTGCAGAGATGTTTTCTGGCCCTTTCCTAAAACTGGGCCTGTACAGGTCCTTGATGGAGGGGATATATCGGTGCTGATAAGCCTCCCTGCAGAGCTGATTGTCCGTTGGAGTCTGAACTTGTCCTGCTTCATGGCTGACCAGAACTAGTGAGTACTATTATTATTGTTGTTATGATTATGTATAATGTACAGTAACTTTAGTAATGACACTTGGCTGTGTATCTGAAGTTTTACACTGCCAACTTTCACACAGTATGTGGTCTGTCCCACCAAGGGGGAGAGAATTTTAGACCTACTGTTAGCATACAGACACACACACACATGTGCGAATGGTTAAAGGAGGTCTTAGTGAAACTACAGGGCTGTTTTGAGGTGACAGACTGGGAGACACTGTAAACTTGTCAGTGAGGACATCAGTGGGCTTACTGAGTGTATCACTGACTTCATCCCTGCTCAGACTGTCCATTGTTACCTAAATAACAAGCTGTGCATAACTAAGGACATAAAAACCTTCCTCAATGACAAGAAAAGGGGCCTTCTGAGCGGGCAGTATTGAGAAGGTTCATCTTCAGAAGTTTTCTGATGACTCTGCGGTGGTTGGATGCATCAGTGAGGGTGTTGAGACAGAGTACTGAGTTATGATGGACTCTTTTGTCATCTTGATGCATGCTCAATCATCCACGTAGGTAAAACTCCAGAAGTTGATTCTGTTCATCTGGATGTAGCGTTTTCTTTTGTTGTGTGGTACGAGCAGAGTCACCTGCAGCTCAACAAGACAAAGACCAAAGAATTGTTTGTGGACTTTAGGGGGACCAGGAAACCTGTGACCCGTGTTTCAATCCAAGGGGTCGATGTGGACATTGTGGAGGACTATAAATACCTCAGAGTACACATAATAAACTAGACTAGGTTAAAAACACCACTGCACTCTACAGGAAGTAGAAAGTAGAAGTTTTTCCGGAATATCCTGTGTAAGCCTCAGAGAGAGAGGCTGTACAGGAAAATCTCAGCAGTTTGTGAAACCGCAGCTCCCATTCAAAGTCTCTTAATCTTAATCACCTTTCTTCCCTACGCTGATGCTAGGTATGAATTTCAGGAGGTCGTCTACATGCATTAATGTACAGACTTGGAGCCGGTGAGCGTATAGACACGTTATATTTGCGATTTGTTGCCTGTTAACGAGGAATCAAAAATAGGAGATTGACATTTTTCAGCCAATCAATTTTTAGAATGAGAGGCGCAGGGAGCATTGGTCTGACCAATAGGAATCTTTCTTACTGCGACGGCCCGTCCCACGTCCGAAGGATTAACCTTTGTGATTTTCTGTTGGGCGCCATTTTGATTGAAGTATTGTGTGAGAGCTAAAGCAGGAAGCACTTTGTCAGCTATTTGCACACGTTTAAACCTGAGCTGACTGATCGCTCATACTGATTGAGCCATTTAAGTAATTCGAAAATGGCGACGGGAGCAAATGCAACTCCATTAGGGAAGTTGCACCCTAGTATTGGCGCTAAACGAGCCTTTGATGCCGGGCCTGGTGCGGGGAACGGGCTGATGCCAACACCGGGGCCGCCCGGGTCCTTTCCTTCTCTACAAGGCTTCCAGCCTTCGATGCCAAGCGCATCTTTTCCCCAGTCTCATCAGTTCAACCCGGGGACAAGTTTTTCGAGTCAAGCTCAACAGCAATCTCCTGCGGGGAGCGGAATGCCTAAACCTGGTAAGTTAAGCGAGCTGAAGCTAACTCCTGTAGCCCTCAACGCGGCGTTAGCGAGCTGAAGCTAACGACGTTAACCAACATGGGTGACGAGCCCTGGCCTGAACGGCATGGATAAGGAGCCGCTAAAGTTGGTTAGTAAACGATAGTGGTTGGTGTTTTTTGGTCTAGGTTGTCCTCTTCTGACCTGACGGTTTAGTTAACGAGGGTTAATAGTGAAGTCTGGCGAAACGACAGCTCTCTGCCTGACGGTATGTTTTATTGGTAACAGTGCATTGCCTCGCTTTCATACGTAAACCTCATCAAGGCCATCCATAACTGTCTTTTTCTAAATCGAAGCACATGAGAGAGGAGTAGCTGATAGAGCCCAAACGAGGAGTCACCACGTTGCCGTTCTCCTGCATTTAATCTCGAAATACACTGGCTCCATCAATGCCGTGAAGGGCGGTAGAGCTGGCGTGCATCATGTAATGTTTCACCGGCATGCTGTGTTTCTCGCGGTAGATTTCGGCCAGAAGAAGTCAAGAAAGAAGAGTCGTTGGAGCAGCGAGACGCCTGATCAGAAGACCGTCATACCGGGCATGCCCACCGTTATCCCACCCGGACTGACCCGGGATCAGGAGAGAGCATATATAGGTAAATATTGAGTTGGTGATAATAAAACAAACAACATCTTGCATTATGTGTCTAGGAAATTACTTGTTTGGGGTTTAAGTTTCCCTGCCAGTAATAATTTTATCCTGTTTGCTGAACTGCCAACAGTTAGAGCTTCTAAAGACACCCATTACACATTCTGGTTCCAGTATGTTTACTCTAACACGATGGGACATTTTGCTCCAGCTGTTGTCTTTTCTGAAGAGCAATGATTACTTTATGATTGAAAATGTTAAGTTGACTTCTTTGTAATGGAGGCTTAGTGGTGGTGCTGCATAGTGTTATAGTTTGCATACCATTGGGCACCCATTAGCAAGAGGAGTAGATTGTTAAACACCACTGCTTGCAGATATCTGTCCTCAGCTGCAGGTCACTGCTCACTGTCTTGCCTGATTCCCTACACATCATCAGTTTTGTTCCTGTGCATGGAGGAGTTAGTCATAATGTCCTAACATTGCTAAAGAATGCTGTTTATTTTGGTTTGAAGTGTGAGCAATGCTGCTTCAATGGCAAACGAATCCAGTGAGTTTAAAGAAGACAAATTGTTGTTTTTGTGGCCACTGCAAATTTGGAAATGCTTAAGGACTGTGTGCGCGCTCTGATTTTGGCCTGTCCCAAAAACATTGATCATAAAAAGTCCTTTTGAACCACACATGCCTTCCAGCAGCAGTGTAACACCAACATACTGCCTTCACAGGCCCTCAGCGGGTGTTCTGAAGCAGACCAATCCTTTTTTTGTCAAAAACTAACATCATTATTGATGTTGTGCACTCATTGGTAATGGTTGATCTTGGTATGTAAACATTCATTTGTGCCCACCCTCCGTCGTCACACTTGTTATTTTTCCTCATTCAGTAAAGCCCCAAAAACATTGTGAGGGAAGATTTAAAGATGAAGCACAAGTCACTGGCCCTTTATTATTCTTCTCAATAACCCAGACTAATAGTTTCAGTGCCAGTGAACGTGTGTTTGGTGTATTTCATCACAGCTTTCATAATGTGCGTTAGATGACTGACTGATTTCATTGCCTTTGGAACGATCCCCTCAGTGTTAGATCTGTGGAGTGACTGCGACTGACTTTATAAAACCAAATAGCCAGCGTATCCTCAAATGTTTAAGATTTAAGCACTTTTCATGGAATTAATTAAAGAGTCTTTTATGCGGTAGGTATTATTAGGAGTCGTGGAGTTAACGGACACATTGACGTTCAGAAGACGTTAGACTTTTTCATGCTAAAGTAAACGACCTCTAGGACTTGCTGGTAATGTGTGCTTCTGATGATGTAATACTTTAGAGTCTTGCCAGATGTTTATTTGATCTTCCTTTTGTATTTAACAGACTCACCGTTTGTCTTTACCTCAGTAATGAATGAGATAGTGCTCCAATGTGCAGAGCATTGTCTCTCTGTTGTTATTGTGGTAATCAAATTTCTCTCCATCCTTGTTTTTCTTTCCTAACCTGAATTC